TCTGAATCTTTGACAAAACTACGCAAGAACATGGAACCTTACCATCTAGTTAGCGCGGCCAAGGGCCTGATTCCTAAATTTTGGCTTGTCCCTGACCCACCAAGTATGAATGACTGGGTTAATAGAGTAGATAACATTTATAGGATGGAGGAGTTGTGTCATATTGAAGAGGATAAAATGGAAAAATTGTGGAAAACATGGGAGTCAGTGGTTGGTCTTTAAAACAACTAAAAGATATGTAGAACTACTGGGAATATAATATATGAGTACTGGGGGGAGCTTTTAAGAATGGCCCACAGAGGAAAGGGGACAGGAGGAAGGGAACACAGATATAGACTGATAGTGACAAGAAAGGTTAGAAACTAGGAAAGTGATGTGGTTTCAGGGAATATGGAGGGGTGAGGGGAGGGTTGAGGGGAGTAGGGGAAATATGAGGTAATAGGATGCATGGGAGAAGTTTGGTATTGTATGTGCTTTCTTCTTCCCAGATTTATGTGTATTTGATGTTCCTTTTGTATTTTAAAAAAAAAACAAAAAAAAAAAAAAAACATTATAAAAGATATAATTATTGGTCAATACTAACCATGGGGAGAGGAAGGCTTGGGGGCTACAGAAGATGAAGCCCAGAGATCCGCTTTATATTACCCATTACTTTGATTCTTTGATATGCCATCTGTCCTGGTGAAATGGCTCATGAGACCTGGTCCTACTCCCTCCATCTTGTTTCTATCCTGTGATGTGTCCTACAAGCGTAAGTGGAAATCTCTTAACTAATGCTCCTCTACATATATCACCATTTCCCTGCTCGAATGATCTTGGCTTCCCTTGTTTTGTGTGGAATTACCCCCATATCCAGTTATTTAATGGTGTTCTGTGTTTGTACAGAATAATTGTTTTCTCTATGGCAGTGGCTACGGAGACAACTCCATCCTCGCTCACATGGTGCAGGACCGACTGAACGCATTCAAAGCAGATAACCCAAACATGGGAGAGGTGAGATGTTGCTATTGGAACTGTAACAGTTCTGATTATGGGTAAGGGCTACTTACCTGTCACTATTCTGTAGAAAGACTTAAAAGGAACTTTACTAAAAAACCTTCTTTATTGTAGGAATGGCGTTGCACAGAAAGAAGCCAATAGTATGTTAGGGCTATGGCACAGTAAAGAATATACGATTTACACACCATTCTGTTAAGATAACATTAATAACTTTCCATTTCTATGAATCAGTAAGGGTGCAGGAATGGCAAGTGGAACCTTTTTATAGTAGCATTATCTAGAATGGGAACAATTTGTAGCTTTCCTGTTTATGGTAGAGTTCCTCTGTAAACGCGTTATACATTCATAATTGTGTCATAAAATGTTTGGCGCTTCCTGTATGTTTGCTTTTGTCCATGCCCTTCATCGTACTGCTGTTGTGTTGCATTCTCTGCCACTGGGGCTGCTTGAGCATTTCTCTAGTGTGTCTAGGTATCCATCTATAGTGATCTTTATTCTCTCTGGTGAATACCAAGCATACATTGGAGATGAATTTGGAAAACAGTGTGTCGGTGTCAGACACTCACTAAGCTCAGGAATAGTAAAGCTTTCAGATGGCTTGAGAAGAGGTGTTGGAGGATTATGGCTATGAGGCTTTACTGTCCTTCACATTTTTTCCCAAATGCTTTTCCCTACCCTGTGTTCTTACCTGCTTCTCTCCATCCCAGGGCCCAGACAAGTCCCGCTCCCAGCTCCTCATTGTGGATCGTGGATATGACCCTGTGTCTCCCCTCCTGCATGAACTTACATTTCAGGCCATGGCTCATGACCTGCTAGACATCAAGCAAGACATATACCAGTAGGTTTTCACCCCCTTTATGCTATGCAGACCTATAGCACAGCAAGGGTGGGTGAATCATATCAGTATGCAAATTACTTTGATAAACCATTGTGAAGTAAACTGGTCCAAGAAAAATGTTCTTTAAAGTATGTAAACCTTAACAATGAATTTCTCTTATTTGGCCCCGTCTAGTCTTCGATATACTATTGAAAGTGTTTGTTATATCTGCGCAGTAAATACCAGTGGATCCTCTGCTCTCTATCTGTACTGCACTCTTGTCAATTATTTAATTCCCATTTATTTCCAAGGACTGCAAAACACCTCCCCTCTTTGTTATGGAGGAAAGGGAGAGGTCAGTGTAGTCATAGGGTGACAAAAGATACAGTACAGTATGCGTTGTCACTCCAGCACAGGCAGAAAATAAAGGGAAAAGAAGTTTGAAAAAAAAAGGGAAACTAATGCAGCCAGCACAGGAGTGGTAAGCTGCCATATACTACAATTTTGTTCTTGTGTTTAGAAACACTTTAACTCTGTTTAGCTGTTTGTTTGGAGTTGCCCTTTAATCTCTGCTTTGTCTGGTTTAGCCCTGCACACATACTGTTTAGAAAAATCAGAAAGCAGATAAACCTCCTAAATTGTGCGCAGGGAAATCGAGCGGTTGTTTGAGGTTCAAATATGTACAGTATAGCTCATTAGAGTTGTTTTTTGCTCATACAGTACAGGACAGGCAGATTCAGAGATGATTGGGGTATAGCCAGGTACCTTCAGGTGATTGTGCACCGGCAAAAAAAAAACTGCAAGGACCCTTCTATAACCACTCCCTCACCCAGCAGGCCTCAGTATTTTGATAGTATCATAGAGTGTTGGATGACTCCTCACTACTGAGTGGAGATTTTATTACCTATACTTTCTGATTTCTGCACTGTGTTTCAGCCATGGCAGCATCTTGTGCAGCTTCTGGATCATTGCCCTATGGTGAGTGCTTCAGGGGCCATTCCCGACCCAGCCACAAAAGGTGTGGGGCCTTTAAAGTCACCCCGGGCACTTAGTCCTGTGTTAGGCACCCACCTTGGTACATAGGTGCAGTGTGGTGCTATACATGTCCTAGAAAGGTCATCTGCTTGAGTGTGACCCGCCTTCTTAAGACCCCTTCGCTGAGGGGTTATGACCTTTCTGAAGTGGGTGAAGCCAGTGGGTGGTCTGAAGGGTTAAATCTCATTGTTCCCCACTTAGCAGTTGATGGGTGGTGAGTATCGGATGGGCTGATTTTCTCGCCATTCCTTTCTGGATAAAGGAGGGAAGAAGTCTGGGGTGGGAAAATGTTGTTTCCTGGCACCTTGGCTACCAATTGGTTTGGAGGGACCACTCCTGGGGATTCAGCTACTGATAGTTAACAATAGCAGGGTGACCTCACTTCATCAAGTGGGCAGACATCTGTCGGCCTTTGTGGCCGTCTGGGCTCAGGATATTCTAGACCTTTTGGGTTCAATCTGTTGTCTTCCAAGTCTGCAAACTGAAGTTTTAGTCCTCTACGCCTCCCCAATTTTATTACTTTTAAATCTGCCCTCCTCTTTGCAACAAGATAAGACTCCTGCAGCATCTTTCTTCAGAAGTCATTATTCTTGATCTGGTGTGGGAGAGGTTTTTGGGCTTCCTTTGATCCAATGCCGTTTGCCCAGATTCACTCCAGGTCATTACAACACTGTATCCTGTCCATCTGGAACAAGCAGACACATTCTCTGGATCAACCGCTGCACTTCTCGACTAAGACCAGACTCTCTGGCATGATGGATATCCACTCTGGTGCTGGAATCAGGACAATCTTTTCTTCAGGATGGTGGTCATAATGGTTGCCAGCCTGTCGAACTGGGGAATTGTATTTGGGATGGCGATGGTCCAGGGAACTTGGTTGGCAAGAGAATTCTGGCTTCCCATCAACTTCCTGGAGCTCAGTGCTATTCGTCTCACCCTTCAGAACAGGACGAGCTGCCTTTAGGGAATGCCAGTGCAGGTTCAATCCAACAACACTGCTGTGGCTTACATCAACCATCAGGATGGGGCCAGAAGTCACCAGCTCAAAAAGAGAAGAGAACCTTTCTGCAGTGGGCAGAAAGTAACCTTCTGGCTTTGCCTGCTGCACAGACGTTGGGTGTTGAAATACGGCAGGCGGACTTCCAAGCCATCAGTGGCTGGAGTTGGGGTGGAAGTGGGGGGGCAGATAGTGCTTGTAGCCAAAAGGTGTTTCAGGAATTTGTTGAAGATGTCAGACATGGATCTACAAGCATTGTGATTCAGTCACAAAATGGAGATTCATTTTTGGTCAAGGGATTCGAGGGTCTTTGAAGTGAATGCTATGGTGACCCTGTGGGATCAGTTCTATCCATTATGTGCCTTTCCTCCCTTGAAGATTCTCCGTTGCCTGCCTCGCCAAATCAGGGCTGAGGGTGTTCTGGTGATCCTAGTTGCCCTGAATTGATCCAGAAGGCTTTCTCTCAACCAAACTATCAAGCCATGAAATGGCTACTGCAGTTCAAACAGAGGCTAAGATGGCAGCTTCCTTGGCTGTGAAGGATAGGAGGGCTTAGTTCTGCTTTAATACCTTGGTTTTAAATACATTTGATTAGCCAGTTTGTGTGCCCCCACACACACATACACCCACACACACACATTTTGATATAGCACATATTTTACGAACCCTTTTGTAAAGACCACCCAGTGCTGGTTTTACAGTTATCCTGGTTTCTGATTCAGAATTTCATATTTTACCTTCAGCTATGAGACTACGGGCATTGGCGATTCCCGGGAAAAGCAGGTTCTTTTGGATGAAGATGATGACCTGTGGATGGAGCTCCGTCACATGCACATTGCAGACGTGTCCAAGTAGGCAGCTAGTGTCCTCAGTAATCATATGTACCACATATTCTCAGGTCCTCTTTTGAACATGTGTCCTCTCTATTGCAGGAAAGTCACAGAACTGCTGAGATCTTTCTGTGAGAGTAAAAGAATGACAACCGACAAGGTAGGTTTTATTCTGTATCCTGTAGTATATCTGTATCCTGTAGTATATAGGGCCCATAGATTCCAATGGAAAAAAAAAAAAGAACCATGTGACATCATTATTTGGCATGCAGTCAAACAAGATAAATCAGGTGATTGCTGGGTAGCCAGGAACTGAGTAATTTCATTTTTGTTGAGAAAAAAGCAATCCTCTCTTGGTTATCTATATACCTCGCAAGGAATTTAACAAACTTTGTAGCAGAGTCCTATCTGTTTCTGTTTTTAAGAAAAAGCTGTATGTTCTGTTATGTTCTTGGAAGTCTGATATCTGAATGGGAGTGTCTGTGTTCAGTCTGATCAGCTGATGCACTTGCAGTCTTCTAATGAGGAAAGTTGCAGTGTCTGCATCCCTTTAGAAGCAATTGACTTCTAGAGAATATGTCACCAAAAAATAATTCCTGTTGCATAGGATGCCTAAAATTTTACTTATCTTAGTGCAGACTTCTGGAAAAATCAGTGAGCCAATCACACAAGCAGGAAATTACATTTCTGGAGAAATTCTGTACACCATCTGTGCACAGAAGGCCTCCAGACTGCCACATTGCATTGACATTTACAGAAAATTACAATGGCTGCAGATTGACAGGGAAAGTTACTATTTAATAACATTAAATTACAAAATCGCTTGTGTAACAATTGTATATACTATGTTTTTATTTGCTATATTTTGTTTTTCCACAAAATTGGATTGACTCTTTAAATACATCTACGGTATTTAGCAAAAGCAGTGAATGTGACTTTCACCATGCAATCATGAATGTGACTTTCATCATGCAATCACTGGTGGTAATCAATGACTTCTATTAAAATACACCTGAAAGATTCACCTGCAGTGAATGTTTGCTATATATCAGAATCGCTTCTTCGAATATGTCCTGTAGAGTAGACCAATATGTGTATCTCTTTTTTTAATACATGTTTGTAACATGTTTGCCTTTCCTGCTGGCATTGCTTCTGACAATCGATACTAGCTGCTCAACAGATTGCATGATCAAGTTTTTTTTCCCAAACCGCTTTATTGAAAACTTTTTATGGAAGTAGAAAGAAAAATACACAAAACAGTCCTGCGAACAAGTGTTGGCCAATTGCCTTCTATCACATTTAAATTCTTTAATTCATTTAGAAGGTAGGTTTTACACCTTCTAGGGAGGCAAGGGATAACATAATTAAAATGCTAGACTTAATTTAATTTATAGTGTTTTATTTATTCTTTTGGAACCATCCCAGGACTAAAGCCAACCTAACAATGAGTGCATTGTGAAATATTCGAGTTTTTGTTAAATGCTTTTGTTTTTCTTCTCAGGCAAACATTAAAGACCTGTCCCAAATACTGAAAAAGATGCCACAATATCAGAAGGAATTAAATAAGGTGAGTTGTGTACAGTGGATATAAAAAGTCTACACAGCCCTGTTAAAATGTTAGGTTTCTGTAAAAATATGAGAGAAAGGTAAATCATATCAGAACTTTTTCCACATTTTTAATGTGACTTATAAATTGTACAACTCAATTGAAAAACAAACTGAAATCTTTTAGGGGGGGAAGTAAACATAAAAAACAAAAATAATGTGGTTGCATAAGTGTGCACACCCTCTTATAACTGGGGATGTAGCTGTGTTCAGAATTAAGCAATCGCATTCAAAATCATGTTAAATAGGAGTCATTATACACCTGCCATCATTTTAAAGTGCCTCTGATTAACCCCATATAAAGTTCAGCTGTTCTAGTAGGTCTTTCCTGACATTTTCAGGGTACAGCAAAACTCATGGACCGCAGGGAGCTTCCAAAGCATCAAAGGGATCTCATTGTTAAAAGGTAAGATATACCATGGAACACAGTGAAGACCGTTATCATCAAGTGGAGAAAATAAGGTGCAACAGTGACATTACCAAGAACTGGATGTTCCTCCAAAATTGATGAAAAGACGAGAAGAAAACTGGTCTGGGAGGCTGCCAGGAGGCCTACAGCAACATTAAAGGAGCTGAAGGAATATCTGGCAAATACTGGCTGTGTGTTACTTGTGACAACAATCTCCCGTATTCTTCATATGGCTGGGCCATGGGGTAGAGTGGCAAGACAGAAGCCTTTTCTTACGAAGAAAAACATCCAAGTCGGGCTAAATTTATCAAAAACACATCTGAAGACTCCCAAAAGCATGTGGGGAAAATGTGAAACCATGGTTGAACTTTTTGGCCATAATTCCAAAAGATACGTTTGGCGCAAAAACAACACTGCACATCACCAAAAGAACACCATACCCACAGTTGAGCATGGTGGTGGCAGCATCATGCTTTGGGGCTGTTTTTCTTCAGCTGGAACTGGGACCTTAAACAAGGTAGCGAGAATCATGAACAGTTCCAAATACCAGTCAATATTGGCACAAAACCTTCAGGCTTCTGCTAGAAAGGTGAACATATAGAGGAACTTCATCTTTCAGCATGACAACAACCCAAAGCATACATCCAAATTAACAAAGGAATGGCTTCACCAGAAGAAGATGAAAGATTTGGAATGGCCCAGCCTGAGCCCAGACCTGAATCCGATCGAAAATCTGTGGGGTGATCTGAAGAGGGCTGTACACAGGAGATGCCCTCACAATCTGACAGATTTGGAGTGTTTTTGCAAGGAAGAGTGGGCAAATATTGCCAAGTCAAGATGTGCCATGCTGATAGAATCATACCCAAAAAGACTGAGTGCTGGAATCACATCAAAAGATGCTCCAACAAAGTATTAGTTTAAGGGTGTGCACACTTATGCAACCATATTATTTTAGTTTTTTTATTTTTACTTTCCTCCACCCTTTCCTTCCCCTCTTTCCCCCCCTCTAGTTTGGTTTACAGTGCCATATTGATGTCAAACCAGAAGATGTATAGTCTGATGCTGATCAGTAGGTTGAAGCAGAGCTACAGCCAGATATAAAAGGCACAAATTAACAGAGCTCTGTAATCATTAAACATAGTTCTGTGGAGTAAGTTGTACCTGCAATCACTTCTATTAATACATATCTACTCTCTTGGTCAGTATTGGTATGTAGCAAAGTGTAGTGCAAATTCTTGTTAAAAATTGAGAGACTATATCAGGTGCAAGTCACTTAAGATGTAGGAGGACTTTTTTCATTTTTGTGGGTGCTTTTGAGGCAAGCTACAGTCCATCATTGGAGCACTAGGTAGGCTAAGCAAGCAGTAAATTGTCAAGATGGGTCAGGAAGGCACACCATTACAAAGAAACAGTACTTTCTGATGTGGGGACAGTTTTCCCACTGAGTGAGAGCAAATCATTACCAAGAGCAATGGTGCAATAACCAACTGCCGCTGGTGCCATGACATGGTACTAGTTAAAAAAAAAAAAAAAAAAGATGTTATAACACCAGTATTACAAACTACAGTGTGTCCCAGTTACAATTCAAACCTAATTTTAAGAGTTAATCTGCTACTTACAAATATGTGCAGAGGGGAACAGTACCTTCCCAATTCTGTTGCAAATATAACAAAAACCAGATAAAATACTGAATGTGAACTGTAAGCAGAACCAATAATAAAGCGATAACAAGATAATATCAATAGAAGCTAAAAGTGCATCCTCAAAACCGGAGCAAAAAAAAAAATCTGTTTAGCAGAAACCGCTATAAAGAGGCAGTGCGGCTAAGTATACTGTATAATGCAGTCTCTGCAAATTCAGGTGCCAGACTGAGGGTTATCACATAGCTGAAGTTGGTCCATCATGGAAGCAGGGTCATCATACAGTTTAGTATCTCCATTTTAAAGGACCCACAGTTTGACGGAGTAGAACAAGGAGTAATGGATAGGATTCCCTTCTCAGATATTAGCTGGCAAAGTGGAACAATGTTTTTTCTTTTCTGCTAAAATAAATTTGAAAACTAGAATCTTTTTCTTCACCAATTTAAATTTCCTTGGTTTTACAGAAAGCATTGAGGCTAGTCACTTTATCGACAAAAGGAAAATATTTAATGATGACCAATCTCGGTTGCTTGATTGTCCATCTGGTTAGGAACCAGATGATAAATTCACTCAATTTTGTGGGTGTGGAAGGCTGAAGGTCAAGAGCAGTCATAAGACCAACTGTGAGATAATTAAGCTACTCCTTCCCTTTGACATGTTCTGGGATGCCAGTAAAGTGCAAGGTCGATCTCCTATTTCTGTTTTTGGGATCCCCAGGTTTACTTTCCATAGCAGTAAGGGTGAGGAATTGTACTGATTCTTTGTTTCGTAAAGCTAAATCCTCCAAATCACTCACTCAGTCATGCAAGTTCTGTAAGTCTTTTTGCATAAGAAGAAATGGTTTTAGGGCACTTTTCAATGGACTTTTGGAGTTTGGACTTTGGACTATTTTGTTTAGTACAGAAAAAAAGTTTCTGGGGCTTCCTCCACAGTGGCCTTGGATTTGGCAAATTAAGCTGAAGGGGTGTCCTTACCAAAAGCATTATCTTGTGCAGGGCTAGAATGAGTCAGAGAGGAGAGGGACTTGAACTCCATTTTGTGAGAGGTCTGAGACTTGATTCTGGAGTTTAGTTTGTACATGACACCACCAAGCAACTCGTACACTCCCTCATCATCTCACGCCTGGACTATTGCAATTCCCTTCTCACTGGCCTACCCAAACGAACGCTGTCCCCACTCCAGTCGATCCTAAACTCAGCGGCCAGACTCATCCACCTCACCAACCGCTTCACATCTGCCTCCCTCCTCTGCCAATCCCTTCATTGGCTCCCAATTGCCCAACGCATCAAATTCAAACTGCTAACTCTGACCTACAAAGCCATTCACAATGCCGCCCCAAACTACATCACTGACCTGATACCCAAATACTACCCTACCCATGCCCTCCGCTCCTCACAGGACCTCCTACTCTCTAGCTCCCTGGTCTCCTCCTCCCATGCCCCGATTGCAGGACTTCTCCAGGACTGCCCCCATCCTCTGGAACTCCCTACCCCAATCCATCAGACTGTCACCTACCCTCCTCACCTTCAGGCGCACCCTGAAAACCTTCCTCTTCAGGGAAGCCTACCCCAACCTCACCTAACACCCGACCTCACCTAACAACTAACCTCCTCCACTCCTCCCACCACTCCATCCTCCACAGCCATCTCCTCCTGTGCCACCTTCCCCTCCCTCCTAGATTGTAAGCTCGAAAGAGCAGGGCCCTCGAACCGCTCGTGTATTGTATTGTTACTGTCTTGTCTCATGTTCTGTCCCCCTTGCTACTGTACAGCGCTGAGCATACCCTTTGGCGCTATATAAATACTGTATAATAATAATAATAATACATGGTCGAGGATTGTTGTATATTTATCCATGGTTCAAGAAAAGAAAGGACTAAATGCAACAAGATAGAGATGCTTGTGCCTGATCATTCTGTACAAGACAGGGTGGTTACTTACAGGGAATATGTCAGCATGACAGCTCGTGGGGAGAGAAATGCCGATAACCGGCATTTCCCTGTTTACATGTGATCAGCTGTGATTGGACACAGCTGATCACATGACCGAGCCGATATCTTCGGCTTTTTCTGTGGATCCGTGATCCGCTGGGTCCGAGGGACACAGCGCACCGCCGATCGCCGCGCTCCGGGAGCCGCGCATGCACAGTTAGAACGGGAGGACGTCGTATGACGTCCTCCCAGAACGAGAGAACCGCCTTGCGTCCGTCATTTTACTATATAGTGGATGGGAGAAGGTTAAGGGCTCATTCACATCATACGTGCATGAAAACTGATGTAAACTGACTTGCAGATTTCCAGAGACATCAGTTTACATCAGTTTTCATGTACGCTTCAATTACTTCTATACACATTGCACATTCCTGCGCAGAAAAAACCTGCACGTGATACTAGTGTTGTGGTGTGAACAGGGAACATAGGGAACAATTGATTTTGTTGTGCCCTTACAGAACGCGTGCAGAAAAACTAATGTCTCTGCACCATGGCGTGAATGAGCCCTAAAGCGGGACTAAAGCCATAGATTTAATGATTTCAAAAACCAGTGACATTCCAGGCATGCCGGGAATGCTGTCACATTTGCTTGTGTTCTCAACTAAACTGTCAGAACCATCAAATGGCTGGAGTCATAACAGATCATTTATGCAACACCATCTCAGTTGCAGATCAAACAAAGGCTAAGATGGCATCATTGGCTAAAAAGGATAGGAGGGTTTAGTTCCACTTTAAGCTTACACAAGGCAGTCCTGCCATTAAAATACAAATGGGAAGTCTGCTGAGGGCTAAAGGTGCAGTACAATGCTGCAAAGTGGTTATGGTGGAGTAGTAGTCTGCTGGCTAGTGAAGGCCTACTTGTCACTCCCACACACTCCTCAGTGGTAGCCGGAGAAACCTAACAGTCTACACATGTCAGAAATGCCAAGTCTTTGGGTGGCTGGACTGGGCACTAGTCTGCAACTGAGGAGCCTGGCACTGGAGGAGGTTGTCCATGTTACAGCACTGTGCAGAAGAGGTACATGCAACTGATGCCAAACAGTCACACTCCTGGTTCCTGGTATGACTGTTGCCTATGATCTCTGGAAAACTCAGGAGACACACTCTGGGCTGCCACAGTGATCCTCCGATCAAAACTGCACTAGTATAAGACTGCAGCTCAAGGTGGTTCCTCCCCTGGAAGTCTTAGATTTTGGCTTTTTAAATGCAAGCAGTGTAATTTGACTTCCTATCAGCCTTCGACTGGGAGAGGAAGAAGCAGCACATCTCCTAGATTGTAAGCTCCCAGGATCAGGCCCTCAAATCCCTCTTGTATTGAACTGTATTGTCTCCCGTTATATTGTAAAGCGCTGAGCAAACTGTTGGCGCTATATAAATCCTGTGTAATAATAGTAATAATAATAATGAAGCCAGTTAGCACATGTGCACTGCAGCATAACTACCAAGAGACATGATAAGAGAAGAGGTCAGATAGATGACCTCATCAGTAGATTACGTCTCCTCGCACTGTCCAGTTATAGGCAGGAGGAGGGATAAGACCTATAAGTGTTGCTTCAATTCAGCACATATTCCAGATCTCACCTCTCACAGGTCAGGTCTTGTACCCTGTCAGACAGGCTCAGTACAGGCTACACAAAAATACAAATCTTCTGGCAGGTTAAACAACTGTGAATGCAGTTCATGCCTTAATGCAAAGAAGATGGAAGTGCTACAAATGTTTTCCTTTTTTAAAAAATACCAGTTTCTTGGCACTTATGCAGATGCTGACTTTTATTCACTTTCTTGACATGGATAGAAATTTTGGGTCAGAGTAGAGTCTAAAGTCTTTATCTGCATACTTGTTCTGGATTAGTGACTGGATGTATGAAAGCAGTAAGAAGGTAAACATAACTGTGAGAAAATTTGCATTTGCAGAATGGGAAGTTGACAATGCTGGCCTCTATACTTCCCTCAGGAAGGAGTACCAGCAAACCTGGCAGTAGTACAGGTGTATCTCCATTTACGAACGCCTTGGTTAACATCATTTTCGGTTTACGAATGAAAATCCATTGAAAATAATGCCTCGATTTACAAATTTTTTCTGCAATACAAAGTGTATGTCGGTGCAGATTTTTAAATGCAATTGCTGGCTTTTTTTTTTTCTTTCACTATAGCTCACAGAATTAGCTATCACTTTCCTCGGAGCTAAAGGATACTTTGTTTCCTTTATCTCAGGAAACAAACTAAAAGGAAACATTTGTTTCTTTTAACTTGGGGAAATAAACTAAAAGGAGACTTTCTTACTTTTAGCTGGGGGGAAAGTGACAACTGATTCTCTGAGCTATAGTGAAGAAAAAAAAAGCCAGTAATTACATTTAAAAACTGGCACTGACCAATAGTGACAGCAACTTTTTTTTACTTTTTTCTGACCTCCGGAACGGATTAATTGGTTTTCAATGCAATCCTATGGGAAACCGCATTTCGGTTTACAAATGTTTTGCAATACGAAACATCTCGGAGAACGCAGTAAATTTGTAAACCGAGGTACACCTGTATAGTTGTTTTGTACAAGCTACAACACTGTCAGGATTCATACCTGAGAATGTCCTCAAATGGAGGTTAAAGACTCATGTATATAACAGCGTGCAACACAAATGTCCCACAATGTAAACCATTGCCATCAAAATGCAGTCTTTGTTTTATCAGTTTGTGTCTGACTGTGTAATCTTTTCTCCTGTGCAGTATTCCACACACCTCCACCTGGCAGAGGACTGCATGAAGCGCTTCAAGGGAACTGTGGAAAAGCTGTGTGCTGTGGAGCAGGTATGTACTCCCTGTAACTAGGATACAAAAGCAATTATCTACTGACTGCAGACCTGCAATGTATGTGTGTTTTAAAGTTTACCTTTTCCAGAAAATTGCCTATGTAGGCAAGTGGCCGCTGTAGATATTAAACCTCTGTGCAGCTTTGTAAAATGATCATTAATTTTATCGTTTTACCTGTGGGCCTCAGAAGCCTAGCCAAAAAACTTCTAGTTCGCAACCCCCCATGTCTTGACTTGCTGCTATGACCTGGAAATTGTTGCATGATCACTCCCAGCCAGGGGCGGACTGACAACTCATGGGGCCCCTGGACAATAGGGGATCATGGGGCCCCTGTGTCCTTGCCCAAACTCAAAAAAGCCTATGAAAAAGGTATTGGGGGCATCTCATGGGGCCCCCTACTGACCCCGGGCCCCCTACTGCCCGAGTTTCCAAATGGTCAGTCTGCCTCTGCTCCCAGCACTGTGAAAGCCAACAGTTTTCACATCCTAGCAATAAGGCAGGAAGAATTACTAGCAAGGAGGGTTTTTTTTTTTTTTTTTAGCAAGGCCTCAAGATTATTTAACCACCCCCCCAAAAAAAAAAAATGATATATTTTCTGAAAGCAGACACTCTAGAGAATAACATAGAATTAGTTCCAATTTTTTTGTGTCACATGATAGCCCAATGGTTTAGAAAACATGAAATTTCAGTAAAGAATACACGAACACAAATTTTAGGGCATACAAGTGCAATATATTGCCCTTTTTTTTTTTTTTTTTTTCTTTCTTTTTTTGGTAAAATATAAAAGTTGAGGTTGTGCCAAATAAACAGATGTCCAGCATGTCAAGACTTAAAATTGTGTGCACCCATGAAATGGCTCAAACTTCAGTATACCCAAATTTTCCATAGACATCACTTAAAAAGCCCCTACAAGTCATCAGTTTAGAGTTAACCATGAATAATAGGCCTAGAATTATTGCTCTCACTTCTGCATGTGTGGCAATATTTAATTTGCATTGCAATCAGCGTTTTCATGCATAGGTGTATGTATTGTATTCATACAAGTGTGTATGGGGTGGGGGTAAAGCTTCTGGGTGTAACGTTAATTTCTTACACTAAAAGATCCCTGATGTCTCACCTGCCCTCCAATGAAATTAATGAAGCCTATATTGAGCTCCATTAACTTCTTCCTCCATCATATTCGCAGGGGAAAGTGACACCAGGACCTGTCATTTCCAAGTCATTCGTAAGAATGGGAGACCATCATACAGATGTTTGCTGTACTTCCTCCCCTCTACCCAGTGGCACCTGCCAGTGCCGATAGGTGCTAGAAGCCCGTGAAACGTGGCAAGGAAGCGTGCATGGGGGGAAGCCGACAGTTACAGAGGTGTGTGGAAGTGATCTGGCTGCTGCACAGCCGCTGTTTCACGTTCACCTGACATTCAGCTTGTCAGATTTACACACACTTCTGGCAGCTGCAACCACCGATGTATGGCATACACCAGGGGCAGTAAAGGGTTGAAGTCTATGCCTGGAACTACATTTTAATGTTCTGTGTGTAGCTGTGGCTGCAATGCTGGCCTTGAATTCAGAGCTGTCTCCCACTGCAATTTCTTTTCATCAGAAGATGTCTTTAGTCTCTCAGATTGAATGGCACCCAACTCGCTTAACCTAGAAAATTGAGAACATATTGAGGACATAAGGTGTCATGAAGGAGGCAGATTGAGCCTTGAGTTGTGCTTTAAATATAAAGTACTAAGAGAAATACATAGGCTGCTGTTGATTACTTCCTTTAAAAAATGTTAGCATCCTGCTTATCATGTTGAAACAATAGCTTAAAATTAATCTGTGACTATGCACATTAAAGTTTCTATATATTCTGAACAAACCTTAAATGCACTTTAAAGCACCTCACTCACCTCTGCAGTTATAGGCATTATGGAGAAATTACTCTTCAAACTGTACAACAGAGGAACTGAAATCTCAGCTCCTTTCTGTGGAGTGTGCGAAGCCTGCCAAGCCCTCTAATGATACATATCAGTTATATCAAAGCTGTTACAAACGGAAACCCACTTATGAGTCTTTGTTGCGATCTTTGGGGATTAATAACTTCAGATTTGTTTTGGCCTTGGTTGTGAAGGGGTTAAAGTGATAAGAAGCATAGTGCAGCACCACAATCACAAAAGCCTATGTCTAATATATAATGCTTATAACGGTAAATATGTGAAATAAAATCACATCACTCTGCCTCTGGCCTGAGGTTTGCCTGGCTGACATTTTTGGTAGATTAGACCATGTCAGTGCTTGGGGGAGGCCAGGGGACTGACAGAACCATCATGTGTCGCTCTGGCTGCTATTGGAAAGTAGATAGGTAACATAGAAGTGTGCTATAGGCAGCTGGTTGATCCTATTTTATAATGATGGGTAGTGCCTGCTCACTGCTATCTAAAGGCTTCTGTTTATTTTTTAATCTCTCTATGCTGGTCAGAAAGCAACATGCTTTGTTTCCATTCATAACTGGATACGTATGTTTCTTTGACTATGTTTATTGTTGAAGTAATAACCAGACCTTGTTCATACCAACTGCTTTTGTATTCACATTCAGTCCTTTTATAGACGTTATCTATTAATAATATTTATGGGGATGCTATTTGACTTTATTGTGGTTTAATGTGTAAATCTAGGGAACAATAATTGTCACAGGTGATCAGCTGCTTGGCTCGGATACCGAGGGGATAGGCAAATTAGTACTTTTTAATTTTCCTAAATATGAAATGAAGATTTGTCCTTTCAGCAGAGAGTCCTTGTTTATTGAATTAATTGCATATTTTTTTTATATCAGATAGATCTATGTTGCTGTAATCCGTGGCAAATATAAGTGCAGAATTTGCAATTCTTCTGTTTAGATCATCCCAATTGTCACCCTGGTTTTAGTAACTGAAATATCTAACTTCCAGGCTGAACCTATAGCCTTCTTATATTTCATCTTTAGGACTTGGCAATGGGTGCAAATGCAGAGGGAGAGAATTTGAGGGACCCAATGAAGATTATTGTTCCTGTGTTACTTGATCCAAACGTCAAGCCCTATGACAAGATCCGTATTATCCTGCTGTATATATATCTGAAGAATGGTAAGAGTCTTTGTAGAAGTCCTATGTGGTAATACCATTGTCTGGCTGATGAAAGCAGTCATCCTTGCCTTACTACAATATATTTGCACATGGCATTCACTAATATAAGAAACAAAAACTTTGATAATTGTCCATATTTGATTATTATTTTGTATTTGTAATGTTTATGTAGGATAAAACCTATGTGTTTGGGACACTGCAAACCTGTCTATCTACTTTCACTTACAACTTTTCTGTTGTGAGGACAATTATTTCATGTGCTGTTGAGGTCACAACTTATAGCACAACCTAACTGCTATAAAAGACAATTGGAACACATCTATGTATTGCATAAGGCCCATGTAACACAATCCCTTCACTAGAGACATCTTACTGCAACAGGATTGCTAAGCAAGTGAAATACTCACCTGTTTGCGCCGCTGGCTTCATCACTGACTGGAGTGAGGTGTCACTTTCTCGCTGGCAAGTGGCATTCTGCAGCATTTCTGTCATCAAGGGAGCACCACCTCATCCAGCCGTGGATGAAGAAAAGATTATTTTCACAGTAATTTGTAGAGCTATTGTCTGCCTGGTGAATGTCACCAGTGACAGGACCACAAGTGTCACATCAACCTAAATATGGCTTTAGACAAGGGAAGGTGCTCAGTGCTGCAGATTTCCTTCTGAGCTGCAGGGGAACATCAACAACGTAAAGGTCGGTGAGTGGAGTGTGTAGCAGGGAGGCTAATACCAAGTAAAATTCAGGTACTTTACTGTTTGTATAAAAAAAAAATGATTGCTGAAGCATATTCAGTCTCTGGAGATTAGCAATTTGTGAATCCAGCCGTGGGGGAGCTGGCTCTAGGACACATCACCATGTTTGTTCAGGAAATTCACAATTCAAAAAGGATAATGTTTACATTCGTTACAGATTTATTGACGTATCTCTGTAATTCTTTATCATGTAGGTATAACAGAAGAAAATTTAGCCAAACTAATTCAGCATGCCAATATTCAGAGTGACAGCAACATTATCAAGAACCTGAACAACCTGGGGACTCGTGTCTTGTCGGGGGTAAGTTGTGACAGTGGTGCCCCTCATCCATCATTCAGGTTCTTTAGCACTGATAAATGAGCATGTTATGTATGGTCTCCCAAACGTCTATGGTGTGATAGTCTTGGTAGTGTTTTCACTGCTAGCACTATGGAGATAATGTACTTTTCATCTGAGGATTAACGTTAAGCTGGCCATACAATGTTAGATTCCTCCATTCACACAAACAAGGTGGTTGGAGGAATCCTTCCCCTCCCCCCCAGGACAATGAATTCTGGTAACTGCACCCACTGATGTAAAAATAAGATATCAATGGCTGAAGCTGCTGATCAAGAACCTTTTTCCAGCACCTCACTGACAGACCGGCGTCGCTGGATCTCCTGAGAGTAATCTGGAAAAAATAGCAGCTTAGTGTTCTCATAGAGCAGGGCAGGTGTAGTGCAGGCCGCAGCAAGGATTCTATCCGGATCCCAATAATTCAGGAGGCGTAGAAGAAACAGGCATAGGGGGCACCCGGTGGCAGAGGTGTCGGTGGGACCCTATGGGCCCATTCTACTACGAAGGTGGGCCGCATATTGGTTAGGCCAAACAGGGATGTCATCGGGTTTTCTGCAAATCAGCCGGTTTCGCCACCTCAGCTCTCTCTGGAAGGCCCAAGATGTGGATATTATTCCATCTAAGCCGGTTTTCAGTGTCAATAGCCCACTCTTGGAGCTTTTTTACCTGGATCTGCAGAACCCGCAGCTTGCAGGAGTCGGAATGAAGCACATCCTCCGCCACAGCAACCCAACCCTCCACCTCGGAGACACTCGATCAAAAGCCATCCAGATCATGACGAATGAGACTGATGTCCGACAGACATGTTTCAAACAATCGACTTTTGACGAGTGAGAACAGCCATACACAGATCAAAATTTGGCCTGTCCCTGCTGAACCAGACATGTTTAGATCAATGTATGGCCAACTTTTGTGTTGGAGGGTAGGTGTAACTTAAATTGAAACTTCAGTTTAAAAACAAAATTAAAAAATAAAAAGCCCAGCAAAGTTAATCTAGAAAAGCAGTTCTTGCCGTGATCTTGTCGTGTTTTTTTTTTTAACCTTGTACAGTCAGTTATCTGAATTGTATGTGGCAAAAACTACCTCCAAATATTTAAAAGCAAAAAACTAACATATTGCCATCAGTACTAACTTTAACATCTCCTATTAGACTTTCTGTACATGGCAAAACAGTTTGATCATAACATCTTCTCCCTGACTCCCACAGCAATCAAGCTCCTCTCCTAACAAGCCAGTCAGGAAGCTACGTCCCGAGTCTACCTATCAGCTGTCACGTTGGACACCTGTGCTGAAAGACATCATGGAGGTAAATCAGTGGTTTCAATTGTTTTTGTTTATATATCTTGTGAAAAACCCTTGAAGATTTCTCTAAGGCGTACTACAATTACACATTAACAACTAACCCTAGGAAAAAGCAATCCACCAATAGGTTTGTTCCTCCATCCAACCCCAAAAGCCTCCAAAAATCCAGGAGGTCATGCAGTTCCTGCTCCAGGGTGAAGCTCTTCCTTGTCCCATGTATTGTGGGGGACGGGCTCACTACTTGAACAAAGTTGAGATTTTGTATATTGAGAGCAATGGATCTTTGAGTGTCCCTGGGTCCGATAGAGTTCTTTTCAGCACTCAGTTCTTTGCTCCGGAATGTGAAATTTTGGTGCTGATGTGCTTAATATATAGTTGTAGGGGTTAATCTAGCATTAGCCAGTAGGTTTTACGGTGCTATGGTTGGGGTCATGGATAATTGGGTTTATTTTAAGGATAATGTTTTTGGGGTAGGCTTAAGTGTTAAGCCCCGTACACACGATGAGAATATTGGACGAATGATCATCCGTTTTTGTTTTTTTTTTTTTGCATGCTAGTCTCATATCAAAAGTGATGAGGTTACTAAAGTTATGAAAATTCTTGTATGACAGAATAAAAATTTGGAAGTGATGTAATGTATTTGTATTGAGTTTTCAGACGAAAACTATCCTGATTAAATGATAATCATACGATCTGGTATTGTATCGTATGATCACTTTAAGAGCAGTAATTTTGGTACGATTTTCTGATCATGTGTACTAGGCTTTAGAATTAAGTAAAGTAAAGTGGTACTCCCTGCAGATTGGTAAAATAACCAGAAAGCTTGGCAGTTTACCTAAACTGTGCTCCTCACACTCCTTTAGCCCTATGAAACACAAAGGTATGGGGCATGTGTGACACTTCACAATGCTGCATTCAATGCCTGAGCAGCCAATTGCAAGGCCTTGGTACTCTTGCATGGTAGGAGGCATGCTCAGTTCTGTGCCAATACTGACTTTCAGAAACACTGTACATCCCTGGCCAAAAGTTTTGAGAATGACACAGATATTAATTTACCTGAAAGGAAACACGTGCCGTCATCATTGCTTTGCACAAAAAGGGATTGAAGGATATTGCTGCTACTAAGACTGCACCTGAATCAACCATGTATTGGATCATCAAGAACTTCAAGAAAAGAAGTTCAATTGTTGTGAAGAAGGCTTCTGGGTGCCCAAGAAAGTCCAGAAGGAGCCAGGACCGTCTCCTAAAGTTGATTCACCTGCGGGATCAGGACACCACCAGTGCAGAGCTTGCTCAGAAATGACAGCAGGCAGGTGTGAGTCCATCTGCACGCATAGTGAGGCGAAGACTTTTGGAGGATGGCCTGGTGTCAAGAAGGGCAGCAAAGAAGCCACTTCTCTCCAGGAAAAACATCAGGGACAGACTGATATTCTGCAAAAGGTACAGGGATTGCACTGCTGAGGACAGGGGTAAAGTCATTTTCTCTGATGATTCCCTTTTCCGATTGTTTGGGACATCCAGAAAATACCTTGTCTGGAAAAGAAAAGGTAAATGCTACCATCAGTTCTGTGTCATGCCAACAGCAAAGCATCCTGAGACCAGTCGTGTGGGGTTGCTTCTCAGCCAAGGGAGTGGGCTCACTCACAGCCATGAATAAAGAATGGTACAAAAACATCCTCGGAGAGAAACTTCTTGCAGTGCTTTACATATATATTGTACGTTCACATCAGTCCCTAACCCTCAAGGGGTGTACAGTCTAAAGTCCCTAACTCTCACATTCATACATACACATACTAGGGCCAATTTAGACAGGATCCAATTAACCTACCTGCATGTCTTTGGAGTGTGGGAGAAACCGGAGTACCCGGAGGAAACCCACGCAGTCACGGAGAACATGCAAACTCCAGGCAGGTGGTGCTGGGGTTGGGATTCAAACCAGCGACCCTAGTACTGCCAGGCGGAAGTGCTAACCATTTAGCCACTGTGCTGCCCAGAATTAGGTTTTTCTTCCTCACCAGGACAAATGGAGAGGGTGAATCTCCTTAGCATAGATAGAGACAACAGTAAAACCCGGGTTCTTATGCTTGTGCTAAAGCTTTGCGAATTGAACCCAGTGTGGGGTTATAGGGGTACGTGCTAGGGGGTATCCCTAGCAAATGTTTTGTCCAATCACTTGAAGGTAGCAGCATATAACACTTGGTCTGTGAATGCCAGTCCTGTGTCCTATACGGATGTATAAAACTAGTTTTAAGCATTGTAGAGGGTATAGCACAACAAATCTATCAAGTTGCAGCTATCGTTTTGTTGCGCAGGAATGAAAGCAGTATTTCACAGTAGCTGCACACACAGCCTCTTCTTTCCATGTGGTCCACTTTTTTTTAATTAAATGAGCTCCTGCATACCTCTGATTTAATAAGCTCCTGGTGTTTGGTTTTGTAGGATGCCATTGAAGATAAGTTGGACAAAAAACACAGTGGCCTTTTGTGAGAGAGCCCTGTACACAGGGTGGAACTGCCCAAACAGTGGTGAGGTAAGGTCCTTCAGACTGTCTCCAAATAAAAATTCTATCTGAACTGCATTCTCTGGTTTTCATATATGTGTTTGTGTTTTCAGCGCACGATTTGGTCACTGGCACAAGACGCGCAGTGCAGCAGAGTACAGGTCTGGACCACGGCTTCTGGTCTATGTCCTGGGAGGAGTCTCCATGTCTGAAATGAGATGTGCCTATGAACTAACCAAAGCTACGGAGTCTAAATGGGAGGTTTTGATTGGTCAGTTTCATACACATTTTCTGTTTTAAGTCATCATCTTGACTCTTCATTTTTGAAGTTTATCCTTGTATTGTATTATTCCTTCCAACCTCATGTCCAATCACTATCAAAGTCATGCAGGCTCCACCTCCGCAAAATCTCCAAGATACGTACGTTCCTCACCCCAGACACTACTAAACAACTCGTACACTCCCTCATTATCTCACGCCTGGACTACTGCAACTCCCTCCTCACTGGTCTACCCAAACGAATGCTACCCCCACTCCAGTCTATCCTGAACTCAGTGGCGAGACTCATCCACCTCACCAACCACTCCACATCTGCCACCCCTCTGCCAATCCCTTCACTGGCTCCCGATTGCCCAACGCATTAAATTCAAATTACTAACTCTGACCTACAAAGCCATCCACAACGCCGCCCCAAACTACCTAACTGACCTGATACCCAAATACCACCCAACCCGTGCCCTTCGCTCCTCACAGGACCTCCTACTCTCCAGCTCCCTGGTCTCCTCCTCCCACGCCCGACTGCAGGACTTCTCCAGGACTTCCCCCATCCTCTGGAACTCCCTACCCCAATCCATCAGACTGTCACCTACCCTCCTCACCTTCAGGCACACCCTGAAAACCCATCTCTTCAGGAAAGCCTAAAAACCGATCTCCTCCACTCCTCCTACCACTCCATCCCCCACAGCCACTTCCTCCTGTACCACTATCCCCTCCCTCCTAGATTGTAAGCTTGAAAGAGCAGGGCCCTTGACCCACTCGTGTATTGTGCTGTATTGTCTCATGTTCTGTCCCCCACGCTAATGTACAGCGCTGAGCAAACCCTTTGGCGCTATATAAATACTGTATAATAATAATAATAATAATTGTTCTTTTTATACTCCTTCTCCCTGCACCCTTTGCTTTAGATTAAGTTGTTTTACAGATTCCTTTGCCCAGCATGTATTATATTGATGGATGTGACTACCAGTCTTCACAAATAAGTGTGGGTGTGTGCAAGCACTTAGGGAAAACACTTGTCAAACACTTGTGTTTTGCTATTAAGGAACTTTCATAGTTACATAGTTGTAGAGACTGTTACACCCAGTAAAACACACACATGCAGGTATAGAGGTTAAGCTATCCCTTAAAATTAGCAGATGGATTTTCTAAGATGGCAATGCCTAGACCCAGGGGGAGTGGTCTCTGCACCCAAAGATCTTTCACATTTTTTTGTCAAAGGTGGGAAAAATTAGAAGTGGACATCTTGGCCTCAAGGTTCAGCAGCAAGCTGAAAACATTCACAGCTAAGAACAGGGATCCTGTAGACTTCACAGTGGATGCTCTGGCGATTTCTTGGACTCCAATTCCAACTGGTTTATGGTTTCCCTACAATGAAGTTTCTCCCTTGGCTTCTATGAAAGATAGTGGAATAAAGGGTTTCAGTGATTACTGCATTAAAGTGGTCCAGAAGAGCAAGGTACACAGGCATACTTAGACTTCTGATGGACAAGCCTTGGCCTCCTAAAAACAGATCAGACTTAATTGCCCAAGACCCCCTGTTCATCCTGCTTGTCAATCACTGGCTTTAAAGTGTTACAAAACCCAGGACCAACAGAACATGGAAATGCAATTATTCTTGTAAATATAAACTGCTAAATACCTTTCTCATCAGCAGTTAGAGCAGTCTTGTGACTTATATCAGTGTTCAGAAGAGCTTGTTAAAGCTTGTAGGAGTTTTCATTTTGCTCTAGGAGGATACAGAATCTCTGACCTCTGTGTGGACAGTGCGAATTGGCCCTGCGCTGATCACATGCACTCTCCCAAGAAAAAAAAAAAAATCCCTAGCAATGCACACCAAACTGAGCATGTGCAGAGTGACTCCACACAATATGTTTTATCAGGCGATAAGAAGGAGACACTGGAAGAAGGGGAGGATCAGAGAAGTCAGGATCAAACCGCCTTTTTACACAGTGCAGAGGATTAACCCTTAGGTTCCACAGTGAGTATAACATGTGCAGTAATAGCAATTTATTGAACAATGCAGTTAAAAACACTCACAAGATTGTGGAATACAATGGTTATTCCATCCATGGCATCTGTCACTTTGTCTCCTCTCTATTGCCACCCAGCAGCTGTAGGAGGAGGTGGTTATTCCATCCACGGCATCCATCCTTTGTCTCCTCTCTATTGCCACCCAGCAGCTGTAGGAGGAGGTGGTTATTCCATCCACGGCATCCATCCTGTGTCTCTTCTCTATTGCTGACCAGCAGCTGTAGGAGGAGGTGGTTATTCCATCCACGGCATCCATCCTGTGTCTCCTCTCTATTGCTGACCAGCAGCTGTAGGAGGAGGTGGTTTATTCCATCCACGGCATCCATCCTGTGTCTCTTCTCTATTGCCACCCAGCAGCTGTAGGAGGAGATGGTTATTCCATCCACGGCATCCATCCTGTGTCTCCTCTCTATTGCCACCCAGCAGCTGTAGGAGGAGGTGGTTATTCCATCCACGGCATCCATCCTGTGTCTCCTCTCTATTGCCACCCAGCAGCTGTAGGAGGAGGTGGTTATTCCATCCACGGCATCCATCCTGTGTCTCTTCTCTATTGCTGACCAGCAGCTGTAGGAGGAGGTGGTTATTCCATCCACGGCATCCATCCTGTGTCTCCTCTCTATTGCTGACCAGCAGCTGTAGGAGGAGGTGGTTTATTCCATCCACGGCATCCATCCTGTGTCTCTTCTCTATTGCCACCCAGCAGCTGTAGGAGGAGGTGGTTATTCCATCCACGGCATCCATCCTGTGTCTCCTCTCTATTGCTGACCAGCAGCTGTAGGAGGAGGTGGTTATTCCATCCACGGCATCCATTCTGTGTCTCCTCTCTATTGCCACCCAGCAGCTGTAGGAGGAGGTGGGTATTCCATCCACGGCATCCATCCTGTGTCTCTTCTCTATTGCTGACCAGCAGCTTTCGGGGTAGGTGGAAGTTTAAGCCAAGATGGCTGCCGCAGCATCAGAACCACTGTGGATTGCACGCCATGCGTGAGGTAATGACGTCAGGAAAGGAGTGGTGACACGCTCAGAACACAATAGCTCCATGGGAGGAGGAGTCAAGTGATTTTCTATCCTTCCACCCGTGGTGGAAGGAAAGAAAATCGGTTCATCTATGGCTTGCCTAAGTCTGAGTCAGTCGACTCATTGTAAACCTTGTACTCTGTGTGACTTATGTTGTATCTTAGCCATTGATAACGAGACATTATCACCTTGGCTAGTCAGACATAGTGACCGTGTCTTTGTAAAGCGCTGAAGCTCTGATACTCCAACTTGTCAGCACTTTCATACTGCTCCTGCTTCTGTCACAGCTGGAAGCAAAACTCCGTGCTTCCCAGTATGGGGCAACATTTGACCTCTTCCCATGTGACTTGGGTCTAGCAGCTTCTTGCATGACAGGTGTGATGTCATCACTCCTCTTAGCATCCAACACCAGCTTCCAGTAGGAATTTTAGTACCGGCCATGATGGAAGAAGGAGCAGTGAGAGAGTGCTAGAAAGGTGAGCATCAGGGGTGTTGGAGGCAACACCTTTCAGTATCAGACATTTATGGAGTCTTACTGCATGGTTGCCAACGAACTATTGAATGTTATCTTGGAGTGTCAAGAAAAGCAAGTATTTACAAGAGGATGTGTAACAAAAGGCTGCATACCATAATCCTTATCCTGGGAGTTCACACATACCCCGTAGCGGTGGGGCATGGCCTCAGCCCAGACGCCCCGGTGATGGACGCTTGCTCATTGGATGGAGAACTACACCAAGCGGGTCAAGGGTGTGTGTGGGAGTGCTTGAATGGGCCTTTAAATATAGTGTGGGCCATGTGTTTGGTCTCTTTGTGCTCTGACATGGGACCTGCTAAAAGATACGCAGCTAAGGGGTTTGGGGGCCCTTTACAAAAGACACAGTTGTCACCTTGCCCATTCAGGGTAAAATGTGTGTCTTTTGTAAAGAGACAGAGAGTAATTTGAATTGAGGGTATGAAGTCCTCTGATTGTACAATATCTTGTAATGTCATTATCCTTTTCTCTCTCTTTTCTCAGGGTCCACTCATATTTTAACACCCACCATCTTTCTGGATGGCCTAAAGTCTCTGGATCTTCCAGCTCCTATAAGTGAATGAACAACAAGTGAAAAACTTGTTTTATTTTTCAAGCTTCTTGATCCTGGCCCTCCATCTTCCTAGATAACCCAGTATACATGGGACTGAGGACCTGTCAACAGAGTCTGGGAGACCTGCCATCTTTCCTGTGCACTTCTGGAGGATCATCCCTAATTCCATGAGGGCAGAACTGCATTTTCCTCTCATTGCCATTGGGACCAAGGAGCTGCCTGATGAAACCACTCCTCACCGAGCATAATTGTTCCTTTACTCCATGTGCCATTTTGTTTGATGTGAGATGTGTGATCATCTTGACACTCTGTGACGTTATCACATTTTGATACAACACATATTTGATAAATCTTCCACATGCACATTCCCAACATGAATCTTGAGAAGAGCTTAAAGATTCTCTGGTTGTTGTACAAGTGCTTGGTAACAGAACTGGGTATACTTCCAACACAAGACAAAGATGGCTGCCATCTCTCTAGTTCATTCTTCCTCACTCGTGTCTGTTACACCTGTAAAGATTATTACTATACGTCAGAGCTGGAGTTATGATAGGGAGATACACTATACCTAAGCATTTCATGAACTGTTTTTTGCGGTTTTACAGAAATTCTTTCGACTTTTATATACGACTTATAATTACAGCAGGAATCCATTGCAGTGTCATATGTAACGCCTTGTTACATTTAATGGCAAAAAATCCCTTATAAACGTATCCATGGCATAAGCAACATTTATAAAACTTCCACCAGCTTAAAACCAGGCAGTCTCCGCATGCATATTATGTGTTTGTATTTTTGTTTTGTTTGTTTCTTTTTGTTTTTTTATAGTTGAACCCCAGACAGATATAGAAACACAAATTTAAGAAGCTATGTAATATTTAATTACACTTGCTTGTATTAAAAAAATAAAAAAAAAAAAAAAAAAAAAAAAATATATATATATATATATATATATATATACATATATATATATATGTAACTACATACATTTTGGCTTGATATGAACCTCATGTAGTCCTTGTACAGCAGAGATTGAGGGGGGGGGGGAGAGAAAGAAGCAGCACAAGGAGCCAATGCAGTACAAACAGATGGGCTCATCAGTGTGCTCCTTCACCTCTTGTTGCCAGTCACAGGATGAGCAGGACTGAGCTGTCTTGGAGAGCTTTTTCCTTTAAGGACTGGATGAGAAATAGAAATCCTACAAGAAATCAGCTCCCATGTATGTTTCATCCGTGTATTTAGGGGTTTGCCTGGAGTTAAGCTTTTAAGTGTATCTAAAAACTTGTTTTGTATAGTGTAAGGAATGGTTTAACCCCCCCCCCCCCCCCCTTTTTTTTTTCTTTTTTTTTTCTTTTTTTTCTCTTCATTTTTTGTCTGTGACACTTTCAAACTTCCTGATTTCTGATCCGATCCATTTTCTGATGTGCATATTATTTATATGCCTACTCTTTACGGTTTGCTGTAAATAAGTTGAAAAATGCTGTATTTTTTTTGTTTGTGAAGTGAAAAAACTTGCTTTCCTTTCACCGTGTGTGTATTTTTTACAGCCCAACTGAACATTCCGCTTATATCATCTAAAACTCAGTTTGTTTTCTTTACAAAGCAGTCGCAGCCTGAATAGAAACCTTTGTCCCTGCTAGCATGCTGTAGAGAAGGACCCAGCTCAGTGTGGAAGCAGTAGTCTCTCTACAGATGTCTGACAGGCCCCCTGCCAAGTCAGAACAAGAGTTCTCCTCCAATCAGCAGTGAACATGACATTTACCGATTTGAGAGGCGCTAGTTCTGATTCAGCAAGGAGTGTATGAGACCTGTGCAGAGAGATCACTTCTTGCATTCAGAAAGCAAGGGACCCTTCTCTACAGTATGCTGGTAGGGGACAGGTTTTTCTACTTAGCCTGTGGCTGCTTTCTAAAGAAAGCAAACTGGTAAGTCTTTGCACGTTTTTTGTTTTTTTATGCACTTCAAATGCGTTTATCTGATTTAAACCAAATGTTCAGTCGGGCTTTAAACATTTTTTGTTCCCATTGCTTTAGGTATGTGTTGTTACCCTTATGTGCCTAACATGTTTGACTTCCTTTGGTATTAGCAAAACAACTGTTATATTTTTCCAATGAAAACAGAATATATATCTTTGTGTGTTTTTGTTGATAATAAGCCATTTTCTGGAAATGGTTCAGTTATATCCTCCACTGATTCAGACAGTTGTACCGCAGTACAGTTATACATAATAATACATTTTGTTCTTCATCCTACAGTACAGGTTCATTTATATTTATCTAACCATTGTTTTACAAAGAAATTTGGTTTTATGGGGCAACTGGGTGTCATTTGATATAGAGGCAGTAGATTCAGTAATAGCAAGTTAACCCTCAGCTGTCACAGAAATGGTCATGAAGGTCACGGAATTCCCAGGAAGGACATATTCTCCACCATCTTGTTCTTGGGGGACAGTTGATGTTAAGCATTGTGCTGGTATACTAGAAGGGACATTATGTGAAACTGGGGACAAATGCACAGTCCAGCCTCTGTACACATCTGTCTGTGTGAATATTTATAGAAACGGTGCCTTGCTTTTTATGTAATGCAAATTAAAGTGTGCTTTTACCTTGAGAGAGATCGGTCATTATAAAGCTGTCTGTCAGTATTCCGCTTTGCAATGGTTTTTCTGTCAATGTCAGATTCCAGGCTATGTTTCCATTAAATTGCAACCACTCCTTTCTTTTCTTGCTCATTTTCTTGGCTCTTCTAGATGCACAATTGTATTGTTCTGCCACAGCCAGAATCGAATCCGTTACAAAACAATACAAAAATGGCTATTGTTTTTTTTGCGGGGTTTTTTGCCTTGAATTTCAGCACTGTATGCTCCTTTTTCTGGTCTGGTTTGCCAACACATTTAGGTCCAAAAGTGGCACTGAAGTTTTCAAATGTCCCAGCATTCTTTGCCAGCTGCACAGACCTACACTACATACTGTACATTCACATCTGTTCCTGCTGTCAAGGAGTTTGCAATTTAATGTCCTTCACTTGCATCGATACATACTAGGGCCAGTTTAAACAGGAGCCAATTAACCTACCAGCATGTCTTTCCAGTAGCATAGTTCATATGGAAAACTGATCCTGATGACGTCTGTTACTGCTGGGGGAAGATCAGTACATTAGTACATTTTAAAATTAAACATCTGACATGAAATATGAACAAAGCATATCCCTCTACATTGGGTACTTGCCTCATTTCAGAGCATGGAATGTCATTTCTGCCTGCTGTCTTGTTTCTCTACTATCTGCACAAGTCACTTTTAACAAGTTTTCCTGATACCAAGAGAAAAAAAGGTGATGGGGAGGGAGCTCCTAAACACAGCCTGTGATTGACACCCTCAGCTTTGTTCCTGTGAGTCGTGTGGAGGAGGGGTGGGTCCCTTACCTACAATCAGCTTTCAGTTCCCCTCACTGAGCTCTGCAGAGTGTAACTTGAACGCCCTGCCTCCTGGTTTCTGGAAGCTCAGGCAAGCTGTATAAATTCTGGATTTTGAAGAGATGTAGAGGAGAGAGGGCTTATGTAGGAGGATATGTTTCAGCTCTTTGTATCACCTGAGGCCAGTCACTTCACTGAGTATAGGTAAGGGTTTACAACCACTTTAAACTGCATGTCCAAATCCATTGTTCCACATGTCTGAGTCTTAGCTCAGTAAGTCCGCTTGCCAATTGACTATGTAGGAGAGTGGTCCAGTGTAGGAGAGTCAGTCTTATAGCTGTCAGTTCCAGAATGTTGATGGGGTTCATTGACTCATGTGAGGACCGGGTTCTCTGAACTTTAGACCCTGCCCCAGTCCATCAGGCTTGTGTCCAACTGTATCACCTTCCAGGGAACCAAAGAGATTTTTTACCTGGCTGGACAGCAGTAATGGGTGATCACATTGTGATAATGTTGATCATCAAGGGTCTCAAGTTAAACTGAACAAAGGGGACCTCCTGAAAGAAGACTACCATGAGACGCAGAACCTTCATGCAGACATGAGTCATGGAATGCCTGGTTGTCTGGAGAGTTCAGCAACTGGACCTCAGAGAAGCAGTCTTATCATGAGTGAAAATTTTTTTTTGCCTGGACTGTCTCAAGATCTGTTCAGTTTCCTCAAGGTGATGGGAAGGCTGGAGGGAAGACTTCTTGAAGCTGATTACCCATCCAAAAGGTTGAAGGAACTGAATAATCCTTTGAATTTTGGAAAACAGGACTGTAGCTGAGGAATCATTCAGCAGAAGGTTGTCCAGTTACCCTGTGACATCGAGGCTCTGAGACTTAAGCAAAGCTAGGAGAATGGCCAGTACTTTTGTGAATTCTTTGTGCAGAGGAGAGCCTGAATGGCAGGATGGCAAATGGAAAACTTTGGTCTCCGACAGCAGAAAGTATGGAATGCATTCATGTGTTGGAAAGAAGGGAATGTGAAGATAGGCATAGTGGATATCCACTGATGCCAGAAATTTCCCTATTCTGAGAGAAGTGATGACAGGTTTGTGTAAAATCCTTTGAACCTGCAGGAACTGGGATTACCATTCCTTGTTCCTGAAGTTGATGTAGGGCTGCCCACAAATTTGACTGTCTTTAAGGTGAAGCTGGCAGATTGGAGGTGAGAAATCAAGAAGGGGCAGAACTAGAGACTCTATTTTGTAGCCTTTGGAAATTACAGATTGGAATTAGAGGTCCAGGACGCTTGATCCATACTGGCGTAAATTCCAACAGACATCCCCCCACTCCAGAGAGTGTGAGTGCACCCTTTCATTGTGAAGAGGGCTTCTTGAGACCAAAGATTCTAGAAAGGCAGAAAGTTTTCCAAATAAATCAGACATAGTTACAGTGAAATCTACCATAGTCTAGTACCCTTTTGTTAGCCCATCTGTTGTGGGACTAAGAAGGAGCTAGAATTAGAGGAAGGGAGCTGTGTCAATATATGACCTTGCTGCGGTGTAGGGAACAACTCTCCTGCTGAGAAATTCACTGGTTTTCCTCAGTGCCAT